ATGACTAATGACAAAGGCAATATATATTAACTTGATTTAGCCACTCCCCTATATTTACAAATTTCAAAACACTGTTTTGTACAATACATACGATTATATTTGTCAACAACTTAAAATTTTTGAGCAAAAGAAAGAAGTCTAAAATAGTGTGCTGTCTAGTTTTATGTCAAACTGACACAAACTAGAGTCATATGAAAGGAGGAAGCTGTCTTAGTTAGGATTTACTATTGCTGTGGAGAGATACCATGGCCATGGCAATTCTTATAAAGAAAGCATTTAATTGAAGGGGCTCACTTAGAGTTCAGCGGCTCAGGCCATCATGGCAGGGAGCATAGTGGCATGCAGGCAGGCATGGTGCTGGAGAAAAGGCCAAATGTCCTACATCCTGCAGACACCAGGAAGTTGACTGACAATCACATGGAGCAAAGCTTGAGAAAACGAACCCTCAAAGCCCACTCCCACAGTGACACACTTCCTCCAGTAAGACCATACCTACTCTAACAAGACTGCACCTCCTAATAGTGCCATTCCCTCCGGGGGCCATTTTCTATCAAACCGCCATAGAAGCTTCAACTGAGAAAATGCCTCCATAAGACCAGGATGCAGGCTGGGCGTTGGTGGCGCACGCCTTTAATCCCAGCACTCGGGAGGCAGAGGCAGTCGGATGTCTGTGAGTTCGAGGCCAGCCTGGTCTCCAGAGCGAGTGCCAGGATAGGCTCCAAAGCTACACAGAGAAACCCTGTCTTGAAAAACCAAAAAAGACCAGGATGCAGACAAGCCTGCAGGGCACCTTCTTAATTAGAGACTCATATGGAAGGACCCAACCCATTGTAGGGTCCTCGGTTCTATAAGAAAGTAGGCTGAGATAGCCATGTGGAGCAAGCTTGTAAGCAGCACCCTGGCCTCTGCATCAGCTCCTGCCTCCAGGTTCCTGCCTTGTTTGAGTTCTCCTGAATTCCTCCAATGATGGGCTACAAGGTGAAATTGCAAACCAAAAAAAAAAAAAAAAAAAAAAAAAAAAAAAAAAAAAAAACCACCTATTCCTCCACAATATTTTAAAGTCATGGTGTTTCATAACAGTAATAGAAACCATAACTAAGATAAATCCATTATAATGGATCACTAAGAAACTTTGATCACTTCTAACCCAAAGGACACCTTAAATGTCTACACTGTGTAATGTTTAATAAAGTTAAACATAACTTATCTCATCGTTTTGAAACAAGCTCTTCTGTATAGCTGAGGATGCCATTAAATCTGGAATCCTCCTGTCTCAGCCTCTGAGTGCTGGGATTGCAGGTAGGTGCCACCATGCCCAGATCTTATTTCCTTAAAAGCTCTTATTTCTCATTCAGAATGGAAATTTGTATGCCTAAGAACTCAGTCCTGTGGGCCTTGCCCTTCCACCCAGGCAGCATTATTCCATCAAGAGGGTGGAGTCCAGTGGCCTAATTACCTTTCAGCAGGTCCCCGGCCACTCTAGTTCTATCAATTCACTATCACACTTGGGGCAAAGCTTCCTACAGGAATCTGAGGCACAAACTGACAGCAGTTAAGAGTTAGACCCATCTTTTTTGTTTGTTTGTTTACAATGCTGCCAGAAACAATCTAGTACCTGTAAGAAGAGAACGTTTTGAAAATATGTACAGGGGTAAATTCCTAACAGTATGAATGACTGGCCAATGACAGACATTCATTGCTAAATTATTCTCAAAAGTGTACCAATTTACAATTCCTCAACCAGTATATAAACATCCATTTTCCTGTGTGGTTGCCAGGTTTCGCTGTTAAATATTTAACTTAAAAAAAGTTTCTTGGGGTTGGAGAAATGGCTCAGAGGTTAAGAGCACTGGCTGTTTGTTCTTCCAGAGGTCATGAGTTCAATTCCCAGCAACCACATGGTGATTCACAAGCATCTATAATGAGATCTGGTTCCCTCTTCTGGCCTGCAGGCATACAAGCAGGTAGAACACTGTATATATAATAAATAAAATATTTTTAAAAACAAAAAATGTTTTCTTGGCTTCTAGTTTTCTGTTTCCAAATACTCAGATGCTTTCTTTTTAAAATTTATTCTATTTGATGTGTATGGGTGTTTGGCCATGCACGTATGTTTATGTATCATTACTTGTGGAGGCAAGAAGAAGGTGTCAGCTGTCCCTAGAACTGGAGTTACAGACGACTGTGAGCCATCATGTGGGTGCCTGGAATCAAATCCAGGTCTCTGGAAGAACAGCCACTGCTCTTAACCACTGAGTCATTTCTCCAGCCACCAAATATTTAACTTTTATTACATTCATACGCAATATATATTTTTGAAACAGGGTTTCACTAAGTAGCCTTGGCTGGCCTGGAACTCACTATGTAAACCAGTCTGACTTGGAACTCTTGGAGATTTGCCTCCCTCTGCTGCCAGAGTACTGGGACTAAAGATGTGGACCATTATCATGGCTAAATATGTTATCTTTATTTATAACTTAGATTTACATTTCTTAATTATTAATGGGCTTGACCTTTGTTCTAGCTTGCTTCCTGTTCTGTGATAAAATATTTTGTTCAAAGCAGCTTGGGAAGGAAAAGGTTTATTTGGGTAATGCTTTTCGGTCACAATCCATCACTAAGGGAAGCCAGAGCAGGAACTTAAGCAAGAACCAGAAACAGATACCATGGAGGCATGTTGCTTGCCGTTTTTTCTTTTATAGCTCTGACCTACCTGCCTAAGAATGGGCTAGGCCCACAGTGGGCTAGGCCCTCCCAAATTAGTCATAAATCAAGACAACCTCTTACAGTCATAGCCATAAGCCAGTCTGATCTGAGCAATTTTTCTATTGAGGTTGACAATAAATAAGCTAACCAGCACCTTTCAGCTATTCATTAGCTGATGTTCACAGTATTTTTTAAAATCATTTTGCATCTCACTGCTTAATTTCCATAGGAAAACTTCCAGACATATAATTTTAAAAGGAACCCAGGCTGTAAAGACCCATGTTTGAGTATCAACTGTGGCAATTTGAATGTAATTGGTCCCCAAAAGCTCATAGGGAGGGGCACTATTAGGAGATGTGGCTTGTTGGAGTAGCTATGGTCTTGTTAGAGGAAGTGTGTCACTGTGGGAGTAGGCTTTGAGGTCTCATATATGCTCAAGCCACACCCAGTGTCTCAGTTCACTTCCTGTTGCCTGTGGATTAAAGATGTAGAATTCTCAGCTCCTTCTTCAGCAATAATGTCTGCCTGCACACCACCATGTCCCATCAATGATGATAATGGACTAAATATCTGAATTGTAAGCCACCCAATTAAATGTTTTTCTTTATAAGAGTTGCCATGGTCATAGTGCCTCTTCACAGCAACAGAAACTCTCACGAATGTACCAACCAATTCAAGGTATCATAACGGGAAACAAACCTGTCTGTTAGGATTGATTACATAGGTTGCTATACTTTGTCTAAGTGTAGATCTGCCATTGAATCAAGCAACACTCTATATGCACATCAGAAGACCTGCTCTAGCTAGTAAGATTCATGTGCCCATTAGCAGCTTTGTCTACATTTATTATGACATTTGACACAACTACAAAAAATAATTCAAAATAATGCATTCATAATTTTGGCTGACTGCTAGCCTAAGAGAACACAAGTGATTTGCTACCACTGTACCCATGGAAGGCAGTCTGCTGGAGGAGGCATACTTTTGGTAGTCTGTCATTCATCTCTTTCTACTGCGCATTAGAAATCCATTTGTGACTGTCTGTGTACCTCAGGTTATGGGAGCAATTTTTTTTCTGTACAGAGCTAATTATTTTAGACCTCAAAGTCATGTTATTCAACTCTGTCATTGTAAGGCAAAAGCAGAAATATACTACACAGAAACAAACAAGTATGCTGCATTCCAAACCCAAGATGAGTTAAATTTATTTCAACAAAGGAGGTTCTATGGCCAGGCAAAAAACTTCAGATGAAAGTTGGTTTAATGAGTTCCTTATGTATACAATACAGCTCAAAGTTAAATTTATAGCCAATGAAAAGACAATGGTATACAAGAACAATCTGATTGGCTGAAGTCAGTATTAACCTTTTACAGTTATATTCTGGCCATTTTGGTCTGATTGGCTGGAGGCTCAGCTGTTTTGTCACATTTTTTTGTATGTATTACTCAGGTAGGATAGGGTTCACTATGAACAGAAGCCACTTTGAGATGGTATCATTCCATTATAGACATAGATCTTAGTCAAAGTTAATTCAAGCCAGATTGTGTATATGCCTTTAGAACTAGCACTTGGAAGACAAAAACAAGTGGTTCACCGTAAATTTGAGGTCAGCTTGGTCTACATAGCTAGCTTCAGGCCAGCCAGTTGCACAAGAAGACATTGTCTCAAAAGACAAAAGGAAATAAAGTTAATTCAACACACTAAAATTATGGACAATTAAATTTGAATTTCATCAATTTTCACGTCATGAAATACTTTTTGGATTCTTTGAACAAATTAGAATGTAAGAACCTCCCCTAGTTTGCAAACTCAACAAAATCAAGTCTGTGGCATTGACGGACCCAATAAACAATTTCTGGTAACTGATGGTGGTCCAAATTTCATTAATCACAAAGGATTAGAGGTTAATTTCAACTAACACAAGGCAGACTGTGTTATTGCCCGGATTCTGGACGAGGGAGGCCTTTACAGACTGTCTAGTTTCCTTGCTCCAGCTCGTGATGGTGACTGTGCAGCCACCAAAGACAGCCAAGTGCGTGGAGAGTTCCTCCAGCGCGGTTCGGACATCCTTCTTAACCCGCACCACAGAGCAAGGTCAGGAAAGCGAGCCCTCCAAGCCACGCTTCGCCTATCTCGCGCACGGGCACCTTCTACATAATGTATAGCGTCCGAGTCTCGCGTAATTCCTCGGCTCACACGCTCAGGTGCCGAGCCCATCTCGCGGTAGTTCCCCACGGTCCCCGGCGCTTCGGGAGGGTCAGGTGACCCTGCGACTCCGCCCGACGGCTCCTGGCCGTCGTCGCGCATGCGCGGTGCGGCGGAGGCGGCTCGCGCGCGGCTTGAGCGGCCGAGGCTATGGGGCTGAGTCGGGTGCGCGCGGTCTTCTTTGACCTGGACAACACGCTCATCGACACGGCCGGGGCGAGCAGGAGAGGCATGTTGGAGGTAACGTCCCCGCGCCGTCGCCCTCCCCCGCCGCGTGCCCATGGAGGAGCTGCCTTCCCGCGCGCGGGGCCGGGCGCTGGACTCTGAACTGCCACGACTGCAGAGTCGTCGCCACCTGCGGTCACCCGGGCTCGGACGGCGCGGGACGAGACCGCGCGCCCTCCTCCCGCTGCAGCCCGCGCGGGATGGGCTGCCGTGGGTTTGGGGAGAGAGGCTCAGACGAGGTTTTGGCCCAGGAAGTTACATAACTCTGAGAGGCGGGCCTGGACTTAACCTACATCAGAGTATTTTTTCCCCCCCTGCAGGCCTCTCTCTGGCCTTCCGGGCTTCCTGGTGTTGAGACCCTCGGGACGTAAAATGCTCAGTGGGCATTCTTTTGATGAGGCTTGGCTGGTCCGCATCCTCCTTCCTGTAGCTGCAGATGCTGTGGGACATCTTCCTCGTCCTTCAAGGAGAAACCGAAGGAGTATCAGTTGCGGAAAAACACTTACAAAAGCCAGCCGTTTCAATACTAAAGGTCCTTTGCTTCAACGAGGAAGTTTTTGTTTATCCGGATCTTAAACCGTTCCCATTTCTTGCCGCATTTCACACATGCAGTTCGTGTCTATCTCATACTTTTTTTGTTTTGTTTTGTTTTGTTTTAAACACAGCACCTCTCTTGGACTGTGCTTTTCTGCACAGCTATGTTTTTAGGAAAATCTGCACACCATCTATGTATTATCTCAATCTATGTATTTACAAATCCATTAGCAGGTAGCTTATGTTTCCACCACTAGAATACAATAGGCTTGCCAAGTGGTTAGGCCGCTCCCAAAGTGCCAGCGTCACTAGGAATTTTGAATTGGTTTTGGATCTGTGTGTGTGTGTGTATGTGTTTTCTTGGTTCTGAGGTTTAAACTGATGGCCTTGCCATCCTAAACAAGAGTTTTCCATTGAGCTACTTCTCCCCACACTTGGAAACAGTCCACACTGTTGCCTCTTACGTTTTGACACCCTCTCCATTATCTACCTGCAGACGGTGCATACTTAACCCCGTGTTCTTACTCAGCTAAGCCCACTGTTTTGAAACTCAGTTTTTGTTTTAGGCTGTTTCTTGTTATAGGCCTCTAAAACCTTACATTTAGTTTGAACCACAGTTCTTCCAGTACCAAGTGCCTCAGCAGGTCCCCTGCCTCAAATCCTTGTAAAATTTGAGTATTAGCCTGTGAAACACTGTCAGATAGTTTTAATAAAATACATGGGAAGAATGTAGCACCCGATGCGCACTCAGTGAACTATGTCCTCATCTACTCTTGTCTCTCAGGCCCCCTTACCTTTGCCTCAATTACAGAACGGCTCAAACTATGTAGATTTTTGCTGTGATCTTGTCTCCAGGCTGATCACATCCAATTCATCCTCCACATTCCTGCCACGTTGAGCTTTGGTTTCTTTTGTTGTTGTTGTTTTTTAAAACAAAAATTTACTTCGGAGGCTAATGCAAGACCGTTGTCACTTGAGCTCCAGAATTCGAAATCAGTCTAGGCAACATAGACTCCTATCTCAAAGTCACACCACCAGATCACAATATTATTCCATTTTGTTGTCTCTTACGGCACCTGTCAGGATGTTATCGTTAATTTTTGCAACTCGTGCCTATGGCTGAATCCTGAGTTTCCTAAAAGAGAATATGCTGTCTTAATTATTTGTGTTTGATACGTAGTAAATGCTGAATGAATACTGGATGGTGGACAAGAATTCAGATCTCCAGTCTTGGTTCTTTTACCACCTCCTTTATTTACAAATGGTCTATGAAATTAGCAAAATTAAATATTGTGAAGGCTGCCTTGTAAGGATGCAGCATTCCTTTTAAATTTCTACCTATTCCAAAATAACGTGCCAGCTGTCATAAGCCATTCTGAATGACTTAGGAGGGGCTAAGAAAACACCTGACTTGGGAAGGAGCATTTTAACTGTGCTTTTAAAAGAATCGTTTGTAATCTCTTTAGGCATATGTCCCAGTTACTGTTGTATTGCTTTGACAAAACCATGACCAATGCAGCTTACAAGAGAAAGCCTGTAAGTGGGGGCTTACCCCACTTAGAAGGTTCGTCTCTCTGATCACCATGGCGGGGAACGTGGTGGTAGGCAGGCATGGTGCTGGAGCAGTAGCTGACAGTTCATATCTGACCTCCATGTTGGAGGCATAGAGCAAGACTGGGCCTGGCTTTTGAAAACTCAAAAGCCCACCCCAAGGGTACCCCTCCTCCAACTAGGCCACACCTCCTAATCCTTCCTGAATGGTCCATCAATTAGGAATCAGACTTTCAAATACATGAGCCTATTGGGGCCATTCTTGATCATACCACAACAGCATACTCTCATAGTCAAGAGGAAACCTACATGTATTTTTTTATTGAACAGATCAAAAACATCATTTGTAAATTAAAGGTCTGATAGAAATAGCTGTGAACATGATAAATGCATTTACAAAGTATGTTAGAAAAAGTAGATTCATCATATTTGGCCTTAGTAGGTGATGTCTGACTTAGCTAGACATAAAAAGGACCATCTGAGCTGTGGATATAGTTCATTTGGTAGAGTGCTTGCCTAATTTGCACAAATCACTGGTCTCGGTCCCCAGAATCATATAAAACTAGGCATGAACCTGGTGGTGGTGGTAGCAGCGGTGCACATCTTTAATCCCAGCACTTGGGAGGCAGAGGCAGGTGTATCTATGTGAGTTCAAGGCCAGCCTAATATACAGAGTGAGTGCCAGGACTGACTCCAAAGCTACACAGAGAAACCCTGTCTTGGAAAACAAAACAAACAAGCAAGCAAGCAAAAAACAAGGCATGGTGGTACATACCTGGATTCCCAATATTCATGAGATAGAGGCAGAAGAATCAAATTCAAGGTCATCCCTCTGATACAAAGAGTTTGAGACCAGCCTGTCTCTAAAATGTAAAAAAAAAAAACAAAAAAAAAAAAACAAAAAAAAAAAAAAAAAAGAAAAAAAAAAAAAAAAAAAACCAGGTGGAGGGGGCTGGAGGGATGGCTTAAGGGTTAACACTGGCTGCTCCTCCAGAGGACCTAAGTCACCATCCCAGCACCCATGTTGGATGGCTCACAGCCACTTGTAACTCCAGCTTCAGGGGATCTGATGCTTTCTGTTCTCTGTGGGCAGCCCCACACATGTGGCAAATTTAAAAAAATAAATCTTAAAAAATAATAATGAAGGTCATTTTAAATTTCTGGGCTGTTTAGCTGGTGTGTGTGTGTGTAAAATCACAGTTGGCTTACCTCTTACTTGTGACAGTGACTTTAGTTCCAGGTCCAGGGAGTGGAAGGTAGAAAAGATCTTTTCATAGATGTTCAGAGTGTTAGAGTTTTGAAGTGAATGTTTTAATCTAGACTGATGCTTGCTCTCTCACTGTTACAGGACTCCTGTATTCATGCCTGCAGTTACCTGGGGCATTCATTACCTCAATTCTTTCCAAGCTGTCTTACCCCAGTACAAAATTTTACACACTCAGCTCAAGATTATGGCAGTTAGAATAAGAATAGCGCCCCCCCCACATTTGAATGCTTAGTTGCCCTCCCACCCCCCACCTCCACCCCAGCTAGCCCTTACTTCCTATTCTCTGTCAACCAATCCTGTTTCACTCTACCAAGTAGCAGTGGGTTGCTGAAACTTAGAGTAGCTTTGGAGCCTATCCTGGTATTCACTCTGGAGACCAGGCTGGCCTCGAACTCACAGAGATCCACCTGGCTCTGCCTCCGGAGTGCTGGGATTAAGGCGTGTGCCACCAATGCCTGGCTATTGTTCTGTTTTTTAAGGTAGTGGCACAATCCCATGGAGTTGAAAAGGCTAGTTTTCTGTTTTGCTTTTGCCTTAAATTTTTAGGACTGATGTATTTTTTCTTGATCAATGAGACTTTTCTTCTTGGAAACTGGGGCAGGAGGATCACTGTAAGTTCAAGATCAGCCTGGGCTACAGAGTAAGATAGCTGATTTACACAAATAGCCTGAAATACTTCTTTTTCCTCTATTAGAAGGAATGCTTATATTCTTAAGAAGAGAGACTGTTTTATTAATACCTTGCTCCTTTTCAGTTCTCAGAGTTTTGGAGTGAGTAGTATGCCGCTTTCTCCTTGCATCATTTTTACTTACTGGACTGCTTTGTTTCAACAGACATGGTTTTTGATGGTGGTGCAGGAAAGGGCCTTCTGCGTGCTAGGCCCATGGTCATGAGCAGCACTCACAGCCATCATAGCACAATGCCTTGCACTCATTTCTGAAGATCAATATTTGCCTTGGTATGGCTGACTTTAGAAGCATGCCCTTCTGTATAGGCAGTTCGTTGGAAGGGTGTGGGAGGTAAGAGTAGGGGTGCTATTATGAAGTATAATCAATGATCAGGTGACTACTGGGATGACACTGTAGAACGTGCTTCGGTTGTCACAAGAAAGCATTAAAGGTGTGATGTTTAGCCACAGTTTCTGCCTCTTGTTGGTTGAATGGTGCTTCTAGAGCAACACTTGAGCCCCAGGCATGCTGGATGCAGCTGGATAAGCCTGCAAGTAGAGAAGTCACAAACTTGAAACTTTGGGGAAAGTGGGTGTGGAAGGGATTTGGGCAGCATCTGTTCAAGGGTCCTCCAGCGTATCCTTGTCTCCTTGTGCCTTCCATTTTGGTTCAGGTCAGCTTGCCCCTTTGGGGTCAGTATTCCATGCCTTTTTGCTTCTGTGTGGAATGACTTAAACCTCCCTTGTCCCTGTTATCTGCTCATCAACTCTTGTTTTAGGTATGACTTCTGCTAAGCCTCATTCAACTATTGTTAAGAATGGTGCATGCTCTTAATTATTGATGTGAGAAGGAAAAAAAAAAAAAAAAAGAATGGCACACACCTTTAATCCTAGCACTTGAGAGGCAGAGGCAGGTGGGATCTCTATAAGTTTGAGGCCATCCTGGTCTACAGAGCTAGTTGCAGGACAGCCAGACCTAAACAAAGAACCCCTGTCTCAAAAAAACAAAAACAAAAAGGAATGAACTCAGTTTTATTTCTATAGTTCTTGCCCATTTAACTGTCAGATGTCCAACCAGCATCAGTCAATAATGGCAATGGGTCTGCCTCCTTTTCCTATGGTGATGCCCAACGGACAAGGGAACCCTGTCTCCAAGAATCAGTGCCTACTATCAGGCCAGCATGTCTGCTGTGGAAGCAAGCAAGTATGGATTCAAATCCTAACTCAGGAAAATTTTTAACAGTTCTGAACTTCCACTGCCTTGTCTTGAAAGGGGAATTGTAGAGTTATAGCAAATGTTAAGAAGGTATGTACTGATGTAACCATAAAGCTAGCCCCATTTCAGTGCCTGGTAAATGTTAAGATAGACCAAATGGGTAACTGTGGTTTAATAAGACTGGGATTGTAGCTTGGTAGTAGTGTACCTAATGTAGACAAGGCCCTTGGTTCCATCCCCAGTAGAGTGTGTGTGTGTGTGTGTGTGTGTGTGTGTGTGTGTGTGTGTGTGTGTGTGTTATAGCAGTGCTTTTCAGAAATTACTAAAATGTTCACTAGATTTAAGCAAAATTCTTATTTTTGTGTCTTCGTGACCAGTATGAAACATGGTAGGCTACCAAACCAATGAAAGCTTGTTTTTGGCTTTATGTGAAGAATCATCGTAAAATAGATGCTGGTTTTTAAACATGGGAATTCGAGACAGAGACAGACATGGCGGGGGTGAGGGGGGCAGACAGATGATATGTGTATGATTGATTGTCTCTGGGAGTGGAGAGTCCTCTAAAATTAAGGACAGTTCCCTCTAGAGATGGTGTGGTAATGGGAAGAAGTCTCTGCTTCTCAAGACATGATTGGTGAAGACAGGTATGCTGACCAAGTTATTTTCCTTGCCTAGGTAATAAAGCTCTTACAATCAAAATACCACTACAAAGAAGAGGCGGAAATCATCTGTGATAAAGTTCAAGTTAAACTCAGCAAGGAGTGCTTTCATCCATACAGTACATGCATTACAGATGTGAGGACTTCACACTGGGAAGAAGCAATCCAGGAAACCAGAGGTGGTGCTGACAATAGGAAATTGGCAGAAGAATGTTACTTTCTGTGGAAATCTACACGTTTACAGCATATGACCCTAGCAGAAGATGTCAAAGCCATGCTCACTGAACTTCGCAAAGAGGTCCGCCTACTCTTGTTAACAAACGGTGACAGACAGACACAGAGGGAGAAGATCGAGGCTTGTGCTTGCCAGTCTTACTTTGATGCTATTGTTGTAGGAGGAGAGCAGAAAGAGGAGAAACCAGCACCTTCCATATTTTATCACTGCTGTGATCTCCTTGGAGTGCAGCCAGGAGACTGCGTGATGGTTGGTGACACACTAGAAACCGATATACAAGGAGGCCTCAATGCAGGACTGAAAGCCACAGTCTGGATAAACAAGAGTGGAAGGGTGCCTCTGACATCATCCCCCATGCCTCACTATATGGTTTCTTCTGTGCTAGAATTACCTGCTCTCTTACAAAGCATAGATTGCAAAGTCAGCATGTCTGTGTAACACACAGAAGAACACAGCAACCAAATGCAGAGCCAGTTTACAGGGTTAGAACTGATGCACGCCAAGGCATTCTGTGTATTTGGTTCAGTTCTAAGAATGTGAGTGAGGATTCACTGCCATGCTGTGACGATCCTCCCAACCCTGCTGCTGCTGATAACCATAGGCTTGCATTCATATCTGAAATCCAGGTTTTAAATCTGTAGTCCAGAAAACTTGAAGAAAGGCAAGATAGCTTACATGTGGGTATGCAGGTACTGGCTTACAGCATAGAAATAGATATTTTATTAAAAAAATAGATATTCTAAAATAGAGATTCAAGCAACTAAATCAGGTTGGTATAAGTACTAAATCATACAAGTTAAAACATTTCATAGTGAAATTTTGCATATTTTAGACAATTTTTTTGTTAAAATATTTTGCCTACTTTCAATGTGTATGTTCTTATCTATTATCTAATTTTTCTGCATGATTTTTGAAGGACTGAATTTTCTGTGGTGTGAACATGACAGATTGTTATAATTTGGAAAAAAAAAAAACTATTAAAAATCAACCCATGGTGCTCTATTTTCATACTTTTGGAGTGAGCTTGTGGCTTCCATAGTCTTTATTCAGAGTAAAAACTACCTTTTTTCGGGCACACAGTGGAGAGGACTAGATGTTTTGTTTAGGTTAAATGCTGGTCATGTGACACCAAAAGTCATTTGCATTCTCAAGCAGAGAATTGCCTCCATGTGTTCTGACCAGGCAGTCTCCCTACTGGTCTGTTCTCTGATCATTATTTCCCCAAAGTGACCAAACTGGTAGAGAAAGTAGGTATTGAAAGCCAGATGTGGTACACACCTTTAATCCCAGCACTCAGTCAGCAAAGGCAGGTGGATCTGTGAGCTCAAGGCTACATAGTGAGAACCTGTCTCAAAAAAAAAAAAAAAAAAAAGGAAGGAAGGAAGGGAGAAAGAAAGGAAGGGAGAGAGGAAGGGAGAAAGGGGGAAGAAAGAAAATCTACTTGAGTGGCTCTCACAGTACCTCTGTAGTAAATTTATTTTCCTTAGTTTGAGGAAGCACTGTGTCTCAGATTCTCAAGTGCTCACTTGGAGCTTGAGTAGTGTTCCATGGCAACATTGGCAACCAGGAATTTCCCCCAGGCTGTTAGACTGGCCAGTCTCATGATTTTATAACCAGAATTGGAATGGGTATCTAATAAAAGAAAATTAATGAAATAAATATTGAGTTGGTTTGAGTGGGTTTTAAAGAATTACAAGACAGCACTAATGGGAAATACTAGACTACATTGAGGAATGTATAGGTTTAACATCAAGAGTGAGACAATCACATTTTAGGTTCTGCCTACCGGTAAAACTAATAACCATTGTTCTATGTCTATTCATAACAACTAGATTCTGTGCTTGTATAAATGTCCTCTTGTTTTGTGTGTTTGTTTGTTGGTGAACCAATGTGTTTTACTGGGCAAATGTCCTCTTGTGTTTGCTTCTCACTCTTAGTTCTTTAAAACATTATTGTGTCCTTCCTTGACTGTTCCGAAGTATGGCTGCTGTGAAGTAGTAAAATGTTCTATGTATAGTGCCCATATGAACTTGACTAAAATGTACCTATCTAAAAATTGTCGAGTTGAGAATTTGGTCAAAAATAATTATGTCTGTGATTGTTGTAGTCACACTGAGGTCTCATCCTTCTAGCCCTCCCACTAGTAGAAAACACATATGTCAGGTCATCTTTACTATGCTAACTGAAGGGTTATCACTCCTAAGATGTGAGCAGTTCCTCAGCACAAGTAATGTAGGGAAAATACATGTAAACTTGTCTTCATAGCGTGTCCCAGTCAGTTCGGCACGTGATATCTTAGTCTGTTTATATCTTCCTCAGGAAAGAGCTCTGATGCTCTACCTTCTGAGTGGAGTGTTATATAGATAGTAAAAGTATTTGAATAGGCTAATGATATTACTAATGCTTCTTAGGTTGCTAGAATTCTTTAAAATTAAACAGACAAAATGTTTTGTCATCTGGGCTGGAGAGATGGCTCAGCAGTTACGAGCACTGGTTGCTCTTCCAGAGAACCTGAGTTCAATTCCCAGCAACCACATGGTGGCTTACAAGCATGTGTGATGAGATCTGGTGCCCTCTTCTGGCCTTCAGGGATACATGGAGGCACAACACTGTATACATAATAATTTTTTTAAAATAGACTCCTTGGGAAAAAAATGTTTTGTCATCTGTATTATTTCATAGTTTCCCCAGAGATAGTGTGCCCATACAAAGCATGAAATTCTCAGTTACTCAGAGGCCCCAAAGCATTGTGGCTAATAAGGAACCTAAAATAGATGTGCTCAAGACCCCTACCTGGGTCTTGACACAGGTGGGTATGTCCCAAATCTGTGGCATTTCTACTGTGTGAGGATAAATCTACTGCAAGAATTTTCTTACAGAATTACTTTGTTAATGACCTTCAAACTAATTTGTAGCTTGGTAAACATTTTTCAGGGCTGGGGTATAGTTTTGTGGTAGAGTACTCAGCCAACATTTACAAAGCCTTGGACTTGGCTCTCAAATCCAAGAAAAGAAATACTAGGAAAAAAATTCTTTTTTTTTTTTTTTACCCTGTTTCAAAAAGCCAAAAAAGAAAACAAAATTCTTTTTTATCATAGTGCCTTAAACATTTATTTATAGTGAGCATGTTAATATATTAACGTATGCCTGTTAATTGCAGCCTTGTAATTTATATATTCATACAGTGTGTGGTGCTTTGGTATTTTTCATCCCGCTTTTTAAATGGTGATCTATTTTGTTAACATGTGAGCAAACATTACTTACACATACACAAGTCAGAGGAAAGGAAAATGGCAAAAAGGCTCATGAGGTGAAGAAAGCCGGCTCAGCTGTAGATCCTTACCCTGCCTGGGTCTGGACTGACATGCCTGGTGGGTAGTCCTGTCCTTTGGTTCTCCTTTTGTCTCTTAGACTGGATTTCCAGTTGTCTATGTCCTGTGTGACCCCTTTTATTTCTCTTGTTTGGGTGCTAGGCTTATTTGTGTAAGTTCCTTAGAAATAAGATGAGGCAAAATTACCAAGATGTTAAATGCTTGAAAGTGTCTTTGGTTGCTGATCTTTTAAAAGTGCACATCCAGACAACATTCTTGATCAGATTGTCCAAAATGTTGGCTTGTGCTCTAGTGGCCATTTGTGTGTAGAGGTTCTTCTTCTCTCCTGTAGCTCTGGGCACTCTAACAGTCTGTGATGGTGTACATTGTATTATGTTTCAGTTTGGGCCTTTGAACACTTCTAAAATTTAACACTTTTTGATCCTGGGAAATGCTTATGGATGTGTATGAATGTTTGCGTGCGTGCGTGCGTGCGTGCGTGTGTGTGTGTGTGTGTGTGTGTGTGCGCGCACACGCGCGTGCGCATCATGTTTGTATTGAGGTCAGATGAGGGCGTCCAATTCCATGGATCTAAAGTTAGAGATGATTTGAGCTGCTGTCTGGGTGCTAGCAACTGAACCCAGGTCTTACAAGAGCAGCCAGTGTTTTTAACCACTGAGCCATCGCTCCAGCTCCTATTGCTTATTTTAAGTGCCTCCCTACTACCTTGGATTCCATAGGGATTGTTTTTCTATGGAACTACAACTGCTCAGATGTTAAGACACACACACCCCTCACTGACCTTTCATACTGTTTTGCTCCTGTTTTTCCATGTCTGTTATTAACTTTTTGAGATGTTTCTTCTTTATACCCTTCCCCCCACTACTTCATGCTTAAAGTTTTCGAGAGCCTTTTCAGACTACCTGGATGTTCCTTTTCCCAATGGACAAAAGATGGCATTGACACCCCCCCCACACACACACACACAGCCTCATCAACTTAATAAGATTTAGTCACAGATGCTAGTACAAAGTCCTCACCTGGATTAAGGGCAGTCCTCAACTTAAGTTTCAGGCCACAGTCATCGTACTGACCACATCAGGAAGCAGAGAGCAATGAAGTACAGCCCAGCTGGACTATCAGGAAGTGAGCAGAGGCAAGGAGAATCTAGCATCTCTGCTTTTTTGTACCTACTACTCCTTTAATATCTTCTGAGGCGGGGGAGCCTTCTTCCAAGAAAAAAAGTAGAAACTAGTTTTCTGCATGTTCCTAGAAAGCTATGTGACCACTTTTAGTCAAAGAAATGATTTGACAATACAAAGGGCCTGGCACAAAGGATTGCCCCATTCTCCACTGTAGCAGTGGGCCTTCTGAATCTCATCAGGCCTTAAGGCCATCACTGTAGAAGGGTGATGGGAATGTTCTTCTGTATATATGTTTCTCTTACTGATGAATAAAACACTGATTGGCCAGGCAGAAAGATAGGGCTACCAGACTAGGAGATTAGGAGAATTCTGGGAAAGGTAGGCAGAAGGGCCTGCCACGGGGTCACCATGTAAGTAAGCCACCAGAGAAGAAGCAGGTCTGTGCGTTCTCCAGTAACCCAAGACAATGTGGAAATACATAGGTTAATAGAAATGGGTTAATAATTAAGAGAGCTAGCCAATAAGAAGCACTAGCCAATGGCCATAATATAAGTGTGTGTATTTATTTGGGGCTCAAGGGCAGAGGGACCCTGCTGGGCCAGAAAATCACCATCAACGGGTGAAGAGTGGATGGTTGTATATTTTTACCCACACTCATCCCCTCCTGGTTGGTAGGAGCAGGACAGAGAGGATTAAGCCCGCCCCTGTCCTGAGTTAGCTCCAGAGCCTCCAGTAGCCTACTGAATATGTGGGCTGCCCTTTCTGGACAGCTACAGGCATTGATAGTTGTCTTCCTGTTGCTTTCCCATCACTGGGCCTTGAAAAGTGGGTCTAGGAAAGGCTCTTAATGGCTGCAGATGTCCCATGCCCTTGTCTTATAATCTGTGAGAAGATACATCCCATCCATGTTGTCTACTGTCTTTCATGCCCCTGCACAGCTACCTTATGCTTATGCTTTATAGGGGAGGCATACCTTTTCCCCAACCCCAAGTTCCACCATTGGACTAGAGAAAGGGGCTCACAGATGAGAAGCTCTTCAGGGATATAGGGCTGCAGCAGAGTGAGTTACAGATCAATGGTAGAGTTCTTGCCTAGGATGTGTATGGTCCTGGGCACCGCCAGCACTGAAAAGTTCCCATCAATTTCCCTAACCTTTACGTCATTTCCTTTCTCAACTCATAGTCTTAAAAGGTGTGGAGGAGTTCTGGGAAGAAACATTCTCTTAACAGCTACTTTGAGAACTCCAAGGACTGGTTTGCTTTGCTGTCAGTATCTACCAACTTAGTTCAAAGGGTTGACTGGATATCCTGGTACATAAGCAAGCAGGTACTGTATAGACGAATTGCAAAGGTCAAAAAAGAGCTACTAAGCTGATTTAAAGGAATCAAGACATTTGATGGGGGCAGAGAGGGAAGAGAACATTTCCAGAGAGATTAATTCAAGCCAGCACCAGTGCATGGAGTCCCCAGCCGCCAGGAGGAGCTCACCATCTCCAAAGAGGTAATGTCAACCTGCTTGAGGAATGGGATCTGCATGAGAGAGAGAAGGTGAAGTAAAATTTGCACAGGTTGGATGGACTGTCAGAAACAGGCCGTGATAGGAGACCCAAAGGGGATAAAGAAAGCTATCATGGCTAAGGGGGTGGGGTGGGGGGTGTTCAGTGAAATTGTGTGAGGCAGTTTTATGGATTCATGCGAGGGTTTGTGTATGCAGTGGGAGTTTGTTAGAGGCATATGCATGTACTTCTACAGCTTTATGCCCCAGGAGGTTGTTTAATGCAGAAAGGGCTCTGAAAGCACAAAAACAGGTTCTTCTGTATAGATTTCAGTGCTGTATCTGCATCCCCATTCCCAGTGCTCTTGGGAGACACCCTCTGGCTATAATATTAGCCACTCTAGGGTGCATAAGTTGGGTCAGAGGAGACTGGGAGAACCTGTCTGGCCCATGTGCAGCAAAGCTAAGTGGCCAGCCTACGCTCCTGATACAGAGAAGGGACTCTCCTGCAGGGAGGACAACTTAAGTGACTGTCTGATAAGATTCCCTCCCCACTGTGCCCTCTTACCTAAGAGACCCCAAATTTAGAAGACCAAGAGAGAAATTTTTCCAACACATCACCTTTTTCTTTCTGTGTCTAAGGCTCACACATTTTTTTTCTTTATTCTTTTGGTAATTATTTATTTTTGAGACAGGATCTCACTGTGTA